GGCATCCTTACTAGGTGCCCGAACCACCTCAATTGGCCCCTTTCGAGGCGAAGGAGGAGCGGTTCAACTCCGAGTCCCTCCCGGATGACTGAACTTCTCACCTTATCCCTAAGGGAGACGCCAGCCACCCTGCGGAGAAAACCCATCTCGGCCGCTTGTATCCGCGATCTCGTTCTTTCGGTCATGACCCATCCTTCATGACCATAGGTGAGGGTACGAGAATGGCCCGGTAGACAGAGAGCTTTGCCTTCTGGCTCAGCTCCCTTTTCGTCACAACGGTAAAGCGACTGCAGTACCGCTCCCGCTGCTCCGATTCTCCGGCCCATCTCACGCTCCATTGTTCCCTCACTCGAGAACAAGACCCCGAGATACTTGAACTCCTTCACTTGGGGGTAAGGACTCATTCCCTACTTGGAGTGGACAGTTCATCGGTTTCCTGCTGAGAACCATGGCCTCAGATTTGGAGGTGCTGATCCTCATCCCAGCCGCTTCACACTTGGTTGCGAACCGATCCAGTGAGTGCTGAAGGTCGCAGACCGATGAAGCCATTAGAACCACATCATCTGCACAAAGCAGTGGTGCAATCGGCCTGACCCTCCTTTCAAGTACCTTAGAGTAAACTTTCCCGGGGAGGCTGAGTAGTGTGATGCCTCTGTAATTGGCACACACCCTCTGATCCCCCTTTTTGAAAAGGGGGACCACCACCCCGGTCTGCCACTCCTTCGGTACTGTTTCCGACTTCCATGCAACGTTGATGAGACGTGTCAACCGTGACAGTCCCTCAACACCCAGTGCGATGTAGGAGATTAAAACGTTTTTATTTTATTTTTTTAAAGGCAGCGACAAACAAAAGTTTCAGCCTTGATTTAAGAAGTGAGCGTTGCAGTAGACCTGCAGATTTTGGGGAGTTTTGTCCAGACATATATGGAGCTACTTCTCTAGATGGTTCATAATTTAGCAAAAGATCACATCACTAATGCAAATTGAATGAAGTACATCTTCTCAAGTTAGATTTTGATAGTATTTCTATTTTCTGCAACTTGATATGTCTGCTCCACAGCCTCAGTTGCTTTGCACATATAATAAACTTATAAAATATAATATATTACTGTCGATTAAACTATCCAGCAGTTATAAAGTCATGACAGTAGCTCTTCTCTTACTAGCTGCAAAAGTGAAATGAATGCATCAGTAATAATGAACTGTAGTATTCTGAAATGGACCATTGAGCATAAAGAGAACCTTTACCTTGGTACTTGATATTTGTGTGCTTTTATTGAAGGAATATTATGAATGCAGGATATGAAACCAGGGCAAATCTTAGATCTACTTTCTTCTTGGTGTCAGTTGGATATTCGGCATTATATTTAGGTAAACACAGTAGTTTATTCTGGAGCTCCACATGCATGACTTTTATTTGTAACAGGGGAATTTAATAATGTAGTATTGTACTTTGACAATGTAATGTATTTGAGTGCTTCTTCCACCTCTGAAGATCTGAACACTTCCTTCCACCCATGACCAAAGATAGCATTGTGGAATCAATGATTTGGCAGACATGAAATCAGTGCAAATCTGAGATCTACTTGTCAGTGTGGGCATCATATTTAGGTAAAGAAGCGTAAAGTAAATAGTTAAAAGTGTCCAGGTCTCAGCCCACTTGTGGCTCTGGTGGTCTCAGCATTGTATTCCTGAGCTCCACATGCATGACTTTTATTTGTAACAGAGTATTGGAATAATGTAGTATTATACTTTTACTTAAGTAATGTATTTGAGTACTTCTTCCACCGATGACCAAAGATAGAATTCTGAAACCAATGATTTAGCAGACATGAAGCCAGAGCAAATCTGAGATCCACTTCCTTGGTGTCAGTGTGGATTTGGGCATCATATTAAGGTAGAGACGCGTAAATAGTTACAAACTGTCCAGGTCTCAGGCCACTTGTGGCTCTGACTGGTGGTCTCGGCAGTGTATTCCTGAGCTCCACCTGCAGGGCAGCTGTGCCACGTTTCTCCTGTTAGTGGAGAGGACGCGCACTGCTCCGTCTGCACCGTGCGCGGTATCTGCGCAGCTGTGAGAGAGAGAAGCGAGGACACATCCACTGGCTTTCTCTCCCTTTTAGCGCACAAGCTCTCCCTGTTTCAGGTGAAGGACAGTTCTGTTCTGCGCTGTCGCTTCTTTGGCACCCGTGTCGGCTTCTCCCCCCTCCCCTAAAGAGCGGAGGCACATTGTCTGTGGCGCAGCGCGACAGTGCGGTGTCCGGTTACAACCCGTGCGCCGCGGAGCCACCGGGACACAGCGCTGCTCTGGGGAATCAGAAATAGCACCGAGGAGTCCGGAGGGAGCAGAGGGATCTGTGCAGAGGAGAGAAGGAGTTTAACAGATTTCTGGAAAGACACGGAGGATATATCATCTTCATCTTTTCTTTCCCAGCTCTCAGCGGGACAACACGCGCAGCTTCGTTCCCTATAGATGACCGGGAGTTGGGCATCTAACTTGGTAAGACTGAGCGGATTTTATTATGGATTGTGAATAATATTCAGATTTAACTCGGGCTTCTGCATTCATTTCCAAACGCGAGGTGTTGTCCTGGAAATAAACCCATGGCTCTTACAGCTTGTCATATTCTCTCTAACAGTGAAACCACAAGTTAGGAAAAGTTTAAATATGTTGCAGAGTCTCACAGGATCCATACACTATTGCACAAATGGAAAATCTGAGAATATCAATGATCAGTTTTGGAAGTTTTGCATGTTGTTTTGCAATGTCTGACCACTTGGTGGTGCTGGCAGAGTGCAGCCATCTCCACATCCCCATCAGCATTTTTCTCTAGACTACAAATTATTTTTTAATATATTTTGAAAACGGATACGGGTCTGGTGTTTTAATCAATAGTCTCTTTAGCATACGTCTCATGCATTTACTGCAGCAAATACATGAGTTGGCATGGAAAATATGACAGTTTATGAAAAGAAACCTCAGAGCCCAAAAGAAAATTGAGAAATTAAGATTTGTGAATCACAGCAGTGCTTTTTCTTTGACCTTTGGCTGAGTCTGATGATTCTTGTTCTTGCTGTCACTGTTTTAAAGGAGCTGCTGTTGTGTCTGTGACCTTGTATGAGACGTGCAGATTGTGTAAAGTTTAACACTTGAATTTCATACATTTTTTCCCATTTAATGAAAGAGACTGGATCTTTTATTCTGCAAATCTCTTTGTTGAGTTTCAGACCTTCAACTGAAACACCTCCAACCTCAGCCTCTCCACACAATGGAGGCAGAGCTGAGTCCTTGGAGGTTTTTGTAGAACTATTTTAAAAAAAAAAGTGATTTCACAAGTAGCATAAGAGCATTTTAACTTTTCTTACATTCCAACTGAACCCGGGCTTTTCTCTTTTACAAAAGTCGAATCGTCAGAGCGTCACTTTGTGTGTGTGTGAAGAGGATTAGTCACAGCCGATGGTGAAGCTGTGTTTGTGCTGTAGGTGCAAACATAATATATTTGGTTCATGTTCCCCTCCGTTACCCTGCGGCTCTGTCCTTGGCTCTCCCCGGCCCAGAATGCTAATCTCCATCCTTGATCGTGCTGATTGGCTGCTTGGTGTATGATTAACCAAACTTCATTTTTAACTAAGTCACTTATTCTGCATTTGTTTTCTTTTAAGCCAGAGGCAAACACCTATTTAGGGAACATGTAAACGGGGATGTTGTGTCCAGATAGCATAACAAGCTTGTCCCTTTCATCGAGAGTCATTGCTGGTTGTTTTGGTCGTGCTTGTTTTTTCCGGGGCTTGAAAGCTGCACAGTGAGCTTCCTCTGATCTTCTGGCCTAAGTCAGACCCACTAGGATGATGAGGCTCGTCTGTCCTGTCGCACCGTGCCGAGCAATGGAAGAAAAGGGACGCTCATCCAGATGGTAGAATTACTCTGGACTGCAGGCTGAAATCCCCCCGGAAAAGACAGGAAAAACAGATTAAATGAAAGACAGAAATACAAGACAAGAAAGGGAGGGAGTGAGGAAATGCTCAATCAAGGAATCATGTGGCGGGATGGCAAAAGTTGCAGCTGAGAAACACCATAGAGATAAAACGACAGTTGCAACGATTGGTCAATTAATCCGTTTCTGCAACTGTTTTAGTTTAGGTTGTTTTTTAAGCGAAATAAACTCCAAACATTGTCTCGTTGGAGCTTATCGATGTGAGACTTTGATGCTTGTCTCTGTTTAAATCTTTGTAAACTAAATGTACATCGTGTTGAAGACATTGCCATGCCTCTTAGACATTTGTAGACTTAGTAGAATATGTTGTTTCATTGAAAAAAATGCACTGGCAACTACTTGAAGTCTGAAAGGCTGAAAACAACTAACTGGATCTCAGATGTGAATATTAGTTTCCTTGATATTTTGTTAAAGTAAATTCAACTTCTTTGGACTGTCTCTTGCATGCACCGAGAGATTTAAAAGTGTCACCTTGGGCTTTGGGGAAACTGTCCTGTACACTTTAATGACCACAATTACTGCGCTAATTGAGAAAGTAATTGGCAGATGGATAAATATAGTGCACATAAATTCTGAACGACGTTATCACTGTTGCTCTCGCCCCATAAAGTCATATCAGTGATGAGCAGCAGATGCGGAGGAGCAGCAGTAAAACGATACCAGCCTCACATTCCAGCGTATAGTGAAAAGCGTATGATTAGCCTGATTGATATTTGCACTGTGTGGGGAATTTGACACAGCACACCAGCACAAACACGGCAATTAGTCCCAGCCGGAGGGGGGGGGGGTGGGGTGGTTCGGGGTCCCTGATGAAAATGACCCCGGTGGTCTCTGCGGGATGTCTGCGTTGCCAAGGCGACCGATTGAATGACAAGCCCATTGTGGTCGACCTTTGTGATTGTGCTTCTCCTCGGGGGGTCGGGCGCTGTGAGAGGGAAAGTGAAAGGCATTATCATGCACGTGTAGAGCAAACAGCCGTCACCCATGTGCTCTTTGAGGCACTTTGGTTACTGATTTATCCGACAGCAGCAAGGTGGAGCTGCGGGAGAGGGTGTCCGTGCACAAAGGATCAGGTTTAATGGTTACATGCAGAGGTGTAAAGTATATAAGTAGATCTACAGTATAATTTTGAGAGACTCTACTTTACTTTGATTTCCTTAATTATCCTTTTTTAGCTACTTGTTACTTCTACTCCACTTTAACTCAGTGGCAAATCCTGTTATTTTACTCCACTACATGTATTTAATATCTTTAGTTAAAGATCTGGATTAATGATGTGAGCTGCGGGAGAGTGTGTCCGTGCACAAAGGATCCAGTTTAATGGTTGCATGTAGAAAAGTAATTAGTGTAAAGTAACTCAATTTACCCAAGTATACAACTTTGAGAGAAATGTCCATTTTATGCTATTTTGTACTTCTACTCCACTACAATTCAGAGGCAAATCCTGTACTTCTACTCCACTACAGTTATTTAATACCTTTAGTTAAGATGTGGATGAATGATGTGAAATATAATCAAGTGTTAAATCAGACTTTAGTTCCACCTGGAGTAAACTCACAAGCTACCCTGCAGTATACAAAGTCATTCAAACTAGCTGCACCTTTACCAGCTTTGAGAACACTTTCATGATCAATCATTATAAAACATATCATATATATTATTCTGAAATGGACCAATCTGCACAACGACTACTTTTACTGTCGCTACTTTCACTATATTTTGAGGATAATACTTTTCTACTTTTAATTGAGGAACATTTTGAATTCAGGACTTTTTCTTGTAACAGAGTATTCCTACACTCTGGTACTTCTACTTTTACTCAAGAACAAGATCTGAATACTTCTACTTTTACTCAAGTACAAGATCTGAGTTCTTTTCCCACCTCTCTCCGTGCACACACTGCCTCACAAAGTTTATTGGTTTGCACAGACTCTCCTCAGTGGATGATTTACTGGCTGTAAGTAAACTAGGAGACGCAAACAATAGCTGAAGAGGTTTGCTGTTCTTCCCCGCTATGCTTTGTCCTGTCAACACCACAGGCTATTTATACATCACATCTACTTTACCATTATCTCATCCCTCCTTGTTCTGCAGCCTCTTCTCATTTCAAAACTCCTGAGAATCATCCCAAATGTGACGGGACGCAAATTCATCTTATGTGTTGATTTCGTGCTTATTTAGCGGCTTTTCAGATACATTTTTGACCCTTGTATAACAGAGACAGTTTCCAGGGTGTTCGTAAACAACTCTTTGCTTTTTCCACCAGTTATTCAGTTGCTATGGATACTCCGAGGTCACAGAAAACAGATAGTGTTGGCATAAGGAAAGTGTATCATCCAGGGCACTCGAAAGGTCAAAGGGTCGCGGCGGTTGCCATAGAGTTTGCGAGGAAGCTATTAAGTGGGGTGCACAATGCAACTCAACATAGCATTAGCTGTTTATCCGCACACAAGTTTGTAGCTCGGATAAACATCTCTCTGTCAAGGTCAGCTCTGCGTTGTGGTTTTATTTTCTGCGAGGAATATTCTCCTATAATGCTGCACAGCTGGAAACCAGGCTGTTAAAGTGAAAACAGGACACACGCAAACAAAATGTGGACATATTTGTGCAAAGAGGTGGGAATGAAGCACACAGCCGTTCTCTGATGGGACAGATTCTTGTAAAGCACACAGGGGAGGCTGTTATAATTTCACACTGCAGGCTAAGCAGCAGAAACAACACAGGGGCAGGTGTAGGAAAACATTCACGGTGTAGCACAGGCGGCGTTATGTGATCCTGGATGCACCATTATTTCTACTGCTTGGATCCAAAAGTGGATGTCTGTGGTTTGAGTAAAACATCCAGTTTCATGTCCGCACGTCAAAGGGAATTAAAGCAGCCTTCACTCGCCTGCGTTGTTACACTACATTAGCGCCTCTCTCCGCTGCAACCTCAAAAACCACTCAAAGAGCAGAGGAATCTGTCTCTTTTACCAGCCGTACAGGAAGAAGACTCTATGTGGGTCACGATTAAATAATCCCCAAAGCCTCTTTCTCTCTGGGGATCAAGCCAAGAGGATGCTTGAAAAGGTTAAACAGAGATGGATCCAGGCTTCTGTGACAAAGGCAGAAGCGATTATTGTGAACTTGTTTAAGTTTGGAGTTTGTCGTAAGGGAGGATGAGACGAGGTGTAATGAGTCGGTGGGGAAACCAGGTGAAAAGAGAGATGAAGAAGGAGTGAAGAGGCTCGGCTGGTTTTTTGTTTATTGACTGAATGAGCGCCACAGGGCCGTTTGAAGGGAGAAATGACTCATGACTTGTCACCAAACACACAGAGAAACACACTTTCTGTCCCCTCTCTGGGCCGTCACCCAGCTGTATTTCCCTGCAAGATGAATGACTGCGAAGCATGAATGAGAGGATTATTTGATAGTGGCGTTCAGCTCGTATATTTCTCCTTTAGAGGACATGCTTGTTCCTCTTAACTGGACTGCGAGACTTTGACACTCGTCGCTATGTTTTACCA